ATTTTTTATTAAGATAATTGATTCAAAATCGAAATTGAAACAAATTTTATTTAAAACATTTTTTGATAAAAACAATAATTATTGAGATAATTACTTTTGATAGCATACTATTCAGAGGGAAATTAAAATTTTAAGTTACCAAAAAATTTTATTAACGAACACTGTTCCAGTAGTAATTCTAAACAAATATTGTTAGTAAAAATTTTTGATTTGATCAATAATTCAGAACATAACCTCAAAAAAATGTTTATATATATATTTTTATATATTTTTTATTGAAAAAATTATTTTAGAACAACTTTTGTATGAAATTTTCTGCTGAGAACGAGTGAAGGGGGGAAATCGTGTCGTTTTGTTACAAAAGTTCCGTGCCCTAGTTATCATATAATAGACAAATGGACAACTTCATGGTGTTCTTTCATGATGAATTTTTTATTAAAGAAATCCTTTAAAATGTGTCGAAACATGATGCATTTATCTCAAAAAACAAAAAAGTTAGAATAAAAAACATGAAACCCGAAGTTAGCAACAATGAAGATAGCAATTTAATTTTTAAATATTAATACCAACCTTAATTTCTTTTTTTTTATTACATTTTTGTTTTTGTGACAAATTTTAAGACATTTTATCAAAATGACATTGACATTTCAAACCGCAAGTTGCTTATATCTTGAGTAATATTGGAATTAAACGTATCATTTAGGCTCATTTTAAAGGATTTTTACGATTACTAATATGTCAAAATTGAGGTTGACATTTCTAACCGGAAATTGACCATAACTTCATTAATATTGAATATAAATATGTCGTGTTTGTACTCATTTTAAAGGATTTTTAATGAGGATTACAAATATGTCAAAATTTAGGTTGACATTTTACACCTGAAGTTAGTTATCATTAGGGCACGGAACTTTTGTAACAAAACGATACGATTTCCCCCCTCCACTCGTTCTGATTAAAGGAACAGCATACTGTTCAGTGGAAAATTAAAATTTCAAGTTAGAAAAAAATTGTGTTAACAAAAATTGTTCCTCAAACAGTTCTAAATAAACTTTGTCAACAATTTTTTTTGATTTAATCAATAATTAAAGAGATAACCTCAAAATAATAATTTTTCCACTTTTATACATAATTACACTTAGATGCTTAATTAATAGAGATGTAAAATTTTGTTATTAAGATAATTGATTCAAAATCGAAATTGAAACAAATTTTATTTAAAACATTTTTTGATAAAAACAATAATTATTGAGATAATTACTTTTGATAGCATACTATTCAGAGGGAAATTAAAATTTCAAGTTAGNATGACATTGACATTTCAAACCGGAAGTTGCTTATATCTCGAGTAATATTGGAATTAAACGTATCATGTTTGGACTCATTTTTAAGGATTTTTCACGACGATTACAAATATGTCAAAATTGACGTTGACATCCTAAACCGGAAGTTAACCATAACTTCATTAATATTGAAGATAAATATGTCGTGTTTGTACTCATTTTAAAGGATTTTTAATAAAGATTATAAATATGTCAAAATTGAGGTTGACATTTTAACCTTGAAGTTAGTTATCATATAATAGACAAATGGACAATTTTATTATATTTATTTTATAAAAATTAAGAATATTTCAAAATGACATTGACATTTCAAACCGGAAGTTGCTTATATCCTGTGTAATATTGTAATTAAACGTATCATTTAGGCTCATTTTAAAGGATTTTTACGATTACTAATATGTCAAAATTGAGGTTGACATTTCTAACCGGAAGTTGACCATAACTTCATTAATAGTGAAGGTAAATATGTCGTGTTTGTACTCATTTTAAAGGATTTTTAATGAAGATTACAAATATGTCAAAATTGAGGTTGACATTTCTAATCGGAAGTTGACTGGAATCAACTGGAAGTTGATATCGTGTTTGTACTCATTTTAAAGAGCTAACTTTGACATCATTGTTTAGTAACTTGGATAATACCGCATCGCTTTTGTTTATTCGCAAGGCTTATGCGCGCATTTGTGTTTTGGCTTTGGCGAAGTTAACATTTTAGTAGTACTGTATTTGTAGGACTATAAGACGCACCTTTTTACATAGAAAAATAGTCGTAGAAAGTAGTCATAGAAAAACGATTTTATTCAAAATGATTTCAGTTTTCCTAAAGATAGAAAAAAATTTTTTAACTATAAATTGTCACAAAACCATTTAGAGATTTTTTTAGTGCAATTCGAACAAGAATACAAAAAACTATTACTACATAGTACATACCGGCAGTAAATGGGCAAAATGTGGAGATCCAATTGAATTATATTATACTAATATTTTAAATTGTTCATCAATACTTAAAAATAAAAATGATGAAATTGAAACACTTTACATTATAGACGTGGCAAACTTAGACAACATGCATTTAACTACCACCCTAAAAACTAATGTTAATTAATAATTAACTTAATTGGCAAGTAGCCCATTTTTTTAAAATATAGTAGAAAGTGATATTTCAATGCTACAGATACAAAAGACATATGGAATTTTGGTTGAAGCTTCTGAGTTTGTAGTCAAACTTTACTTAATTAGCGAAAAAATTATTAGAGACTATAAACGACAAAATGTATTATTCAATAACAAGAACATACTTTTAAAGTTAACTAATTCTATTTTATTAAGTTTACCTCAAAACATTTATGATATTTTTGGAGATCATGCGTATGATGATGTAATTGATGGGCTTAAAATACAACGTATAAAGTTAATAACAACAAAATTTATTAACATAAAGTTATTTAATGAAACCAAGTCAATAAATCAAGAATATTATTTTCAAATCAATGAGAGTTCTAGACGGCAGGTAATATCTCGAATTTTCTTAGTGTAATTTTTGCTTAAAATTGATCAATCCGGCACTGACTAGCTGTCAAACCGCCATTTTGGCTCGAATTGGTACATTGATAATTTAGGAACTTTATTAATAAATAATTTTAATTATTCTTATCTATAGTTAATAAATTTAATTTAATTATAGGTGAGAAATAAATAAAAATAAAATTTTACAATTCTTTATTAGACATTAGAAAATACAAATAAATATTACATTAATTATAATAGATAAATCGTAACAAACATCATTTAGTCTCGAAATGTACACAAAAAAAAATATAGATGAAAAAAAACCTGTCGCCTATTAACTATGTGGTAATTACTTGTATTTTTTTGTGATTAATTAACTAAACAATATAATACAATCCCTAATAACGTATTGGGAGGGCGTTTTTTTAAATTTATTTAAATATTAATATAGTTATTTACGACCATTTCTATTTAACAAAAACAAAAACGGTTGTTCTATTTTTTTAAAGATATCCTACGCGTAATAATTAATAATATACCGAGAGATTCGCATTTTATTAAATTCTTGCTTCTCCTTATCATAATAAATTCAGGTACTTTTCCTATCCCAATAAAAAACCGTACCTTTCATTTTCAAGATGAAAATAAAGTCGGTTCATCACACCAAACTAATTTGGCAGTATGACATTATTTTTTTCTTTAATCTAATCATAATATACCTTCTATAAATTCATAATACAACCCTTTTTAGCTTTAAATGTGAAGAAAAAAATATATAGTGGTTTTATTACGTATTGAATATTGTTAAGTGATGTGAAAATACAAAAATTATGTTATTACACGTTATCAAGGTTATATTTGTTTAAAATTAAACATTTGGTAAAGATAACAATATTGATTGGGATTAAATTAAATTAAATCATTCAATATGGCTTCTTTTTGTATGTTTTTTTTTTTTGGAGATTTTTAATATAAACCTTGATGCTTATGGGTGATGTAAATATAAAAATATATCAAAATAATATCAATTTGTTAAACAAAAAAAATCAGATTGTTAAAAAAATCTTTTTTTTGGTGTTTTTCAATTTTTAAATAGTTTTTTTAATTAATAATTTATTTCATATAGCTGCCTATAAGGAAACAAATTACACAAATCACGCAATTTTTTAATTAATTAAACAAAAATCGCGCGTACACAATAAGCCATAGTCCTTTCGATTAAGATCCATTTCTAATTAAATCAGTATAAGAATCGATTTATTCAAAAAAAAAATATATAATCTAATAATAATAACTATAAATTAATAAATAATTAACAAAAAATATAACGTACATCTTCAATTTTCAATAAATTTCCATCACAATTTATACACACCCAACTTTCTTTTAAACATCTAAGTACACGTATTTGTAAAAAAATATTTACAATAATTATTACGAAAAAAAAAACTAAGATTAAGTATAAAACGTGATGAGAACTTAATGAAACACAGAAACAAACAGACAAATTTTTTTTCCATTTCTCAATTTTCAAAAATTACCCACACAAAAAAAAAACATCCACAAAGAAACAACCAAATTTCGTTTAAACCCCTACCTTGACCTTTGACATTCATCTACAGCGCATTGGACAGCCATCGTAACATTCTCAAATACTGGAACTTGTTTCCGTTTTGCTAAATCCGTCAAATACACCCTACCCCTATTATAATCCTTAACAGCTTGTTTACTTAACTTTTCATTACCCACCTCAATATCATCCTCACCTAAATGTTGCACACACAAAACTACTTTTCGATTCAAACCAATATAATAAGCGGCCATTATCATCGTCGTTAAACATCTCGTTTCATTCGAAACGACAAACAATAAAACACGACTCCGATCGATCGCCTTCCTCCATTGCAAAACGGTGCTATCATCCAACGGTTCATCGTCGTAAAACGAATTGTTTGAAACGAAATATAACGATGTTGAGCGGAGAACGTTTCCGTTCGTGAAATTTTGATAGTTTGATAACGATGTTGAACAAGTTGTTGGGTTATAATAAGACAATCCGTGTTTTGAGATGAGATGTTCCGCTTGTAACCTCCACCGACGGCTGCTCGTGTGACAAGAACCACCGAGGAAGATATCGTGGATTTCCCGAGGATTTGTGATCACATTTCTGTTTGTTATTAAACTGTTGTCAGGTTGATATCGTGATGATTGTAAAGGTTGACTTACCCAAGCTATAACAAAAATAATAATTAAAAAATTTATTTACAAATTTATATTGGGAATTTCAAATAAATCGCAATATATGAATACAATTACGAAATTACTACTGTTAATTAATTATCGTTAGGTGCAAGTATGCAACCAATATCACAGTAGTGGTATTGCAATACGCGACTTGCGTATTTGGTTGCATACTTGTAATGATAAAGTCGGGTACGATAATTAATTAACACAGTGTATATAGTTGCATTGTACCACATAAAATGCAACATAGCTTAATAGTACAGACCCTATACTAATAACTCCGAGTTTCCATCTTAAGAGACGCACGGTTAAACCCGAATGTTTCTGGTTCTAGGTCTTTTGTTAGTTCTAATAGACGATAGATAGTTCTAATAACTAGACCGAGAACTAGAAACATTCGGATTTAGCCGCACGTCACTAAAGACGGCTAAACCCGAATGATTCTAGTTCTAGGTATAGTGTTAATTCTAGTTTTACACTTGCACTGCCACTAGAAGTAAAATTAGACCTAGAAACATTTGGGTTTAGCCGTACGTCTTTCAAGACGGCTAAACTCGAATGATTCTAGACTTGTATTAGTACTAATGATCTAGTGTAAAACTAGAACTAACACTAGACCGAGAACTAAAATCATTCAGGTTTAGCCGTCTTTAGAGATGTCGGGCTAAACCCGAATGATTCTAGTTCTAGGTATAGTGTTAGTTCTAGTTTTACACCTACACTATTACTATGTAGAACTAACACTATACCTAGAACTAGAATCATTCTAGCCGTCTTTAAAGATGTGCGGCTAAACCCGAATGATTCTAGTTCTAGGTATAGTGTTAGTTCTACATAGTAATAGTGTAGGTGTAAAACTAGAACTAACACTATACCTAGAACTAGAATCATTTGGGTTTAGCCGCACGTCTCTAAAGACGGCCCTCTTTAGAGACGTGCGGCTAAACCCAAATGATTCTACTTCTAGGTATAGTGTTAGTTCTAGTGACAGTGCTAGTGTAAAACTAGAAAAATTATCTTAAAGTTTCATGTAATGTTAGGTTTAGTGATAGTGCAAGTATAAAACTAGAACTGACACTATACCTAGAACTAGAATCATTTGGGTTTAGCCGTCTTTAGAGACGTACGGCAAAACCCAAATAATTCTAGTTCTAGGTATAGTGTTAGTTCTACATAGTAACAGTGCTAGTGTAAAACTAGAACTAACACTAGACCTAGAACTAGAAACATTTGGGTTGGGTTGGGTTTGGTGAAACTTTCTAGTTCTAGGTCTAATGTTAGTTCTAGTTTTAATTGTTATGCAGCGCTAGACCAAGAACGAGAATCATTCAGGTTTAGGTACAGTTAAACGGAATGTTTCCGGTTCTAGTGTTAGTCTAGTTTTATTTGTTATTCAGCGCTAGATTATTGTATATTTTTATTAAGCTATAACGGACACTGCATTATTACAGGTTTTACTGTAATATCAAATTATATTGATATGTTGCATTGTATGTGAGACAAAATAAGTAGGTACGCCTCAAGGTTTATATAAAGGTGTTTCTGTAAGTCGTGGCATAATTTTAATTACAAATACTAGAGTGAAAATGATGACGATTCGTGTAAAAATGTTTGATCTAAACCCATAAATGGCTAAGATATGGGCTAAGGTTATTTCTTTAAAACTGATTCCAAAAGCCTATTTCATTTTAAAATTATTTTCACTTTTAGAAATTTTTGATTAGACGCTTCGTTTTCGAGATATCTGCAAAAAGATACAACCTCGATTTTAAATTTTTTTTCATTAATCCTTGGTGCCTATGGAAACAAATTGTAAGTAAAGACAACTTGATAAAAAAACATTTCTAAATATTGAAAGACATTTACGTGCGACAGGAAATTTAAGACAGAAGTATGTTAATAACGGAAATCTGAGGTTAATTCGTACATCGCTACTAGAAGAAAACATTGGATATTGTTGATAGCAACAGTTTAGACATTTCAGAATATCGAAAGGTACGTCTTGGCATGTCCTACATGAGCAGCAATTGTATCCATCCATTTGTCGAGAGTACAAGAATTTAGAATTGCCGTTGCAAATACAATGTTGCCATACTATGATGGAAAAACGTACTATTTGATGCAGTGTTTTTAGAACAAAAGTACTTTTTACAGATAACCATTAATTGGAGAAATACTAAAAAATAATTGTACTGAAGAAAATCTAGATTACATGCTACATTGAGCAATAATTTGACAGATTTCGTTTAAACAAACAAATTTTTTTCTGAATAACTCTGAAACGACGCATCTAATCAAAAATTTGTAAATGTAAAAATAATTTCAAAATGAAATAGGCTTTTAGAAACAGTTGGAAAATTTAATGGTATTTATGACATAATAAAAAAGTTTTAAGGAAATAACTTTTGTGAACACCCCCTGTATAGCATCGACCCGAGTTTGCATATTTTTAAAAGTGATCTTAAACGATTTCTCATGATAATATTGCACTGTTTTCCAAATTTTATCTTTCTAAAGGCTTTTTTGGTATTCTTGCACTTACAGATGATAAGTTTGGAAATGTTTCAAATACAAGTATCATTTTTAATCGTGGCGCATTTTTTGTCGGTATTTGCTTGTTTGTATTGTTTTTTGTTTCGTTGATATGGCAACCAATATTGTTATTTTAAATGAAATACATATGGTTTTTTGCATATTTTGATAGAGCAATCTGGCAATTTTTTGACATTTAAAGCTGTCAACGGCGCTATTTCGGCGCCTACTTTGATTGTAATTTGCTGATTTAATATTTTCAAAGAACACAATTTTTCTCGAATACAACCATATGATTTGATATGTTCATCGCGTAGAGGGATTTATCTTCTACCAAAATAGGCAAAAAAAACATATGCATCTCAATTAAAATAACAATGTTGGTTGTCATAGCAACGATACAAAACACAATGTAAACAAGCAAATGACGCCAAAATTGCGTCACAATTAATAAAGAAACTTTGATTGAAACATTTTTCTTTAAAACCACAAATGGCGATGTTATTGGCTATATTCCAGACATTTGACACACCCTGTATATGTATATAAATCCTTAAATATTTAGATACTTACTTACACTCTTTATTTATACAGTTCGTTTATACAGTTTATATTACTTGCACTTGCACTGAAAGTATGGTGAGTTTTTTAGTTACTTTTTGTGTTGCCAACTGTAAAATATAACGACATAACGTGTTTTGTTGGTTTGTTTGTGAACATGTGCCTCAATTTTTCCAAAAATATGTGTTGGTAGCATTGATTGCAACTGAAATATTGCATTTAATAGTTGCCAAATGTAAATCCATTCGCGCTAGATATTGCCACAATAACTTCGTGCAAAAGTGTGATAAATATTAAAAATATTTAAGAAAATATTTAAAAATTTCTTAACTTTGATGGCCTATATCTTAATCATTTATGGATTTAGACGAAAAATGTTTACACGAATCGTCACCATTTTGCCTCTAGTATTTGTGATTAAAATTATGCCATGAATTACAGAAACACCCTGTATACGAGGTTGTCTACGTTCCTATACTGCAATACTTTGATTTCAGTTTGTGGGCGAGAGGGAAGAGTGTTTCGTGACGTAAGTGGTGGCGGATTGCGAGCGCAACCTCAAAGCCATGAGTTGAAATGTCTTCACTAGTATTAGCATAAATATACAGGTGTCTCACGTAACTGGTTCGTTTTTTAGGTTCCACTGTTTTAATAGATTTCCCAATATGAGGCAAACTACAATAAATAGGTATAGGAATATTTATAGATAATTTGTAGAGAATTAAATTCCCTTTCTGACCACTCTGTATAAAATACTCCGATACAACAAATGACAATCTATTTGACAGCATCTAAAGAGTAATCGTGCCAATGTAGATCGTTTTTGAATGAACGTTGGTTGCGATATGGCGTTTTAAAGAGCATGTTGAAATTTACCAAAAAAAGCTTAAAACCAAAATAACTCGAAAACGAAAAACGCTAGCTATCTATAACTTGTATCAAAGTCAACCTTTTTTTTTACGTACAATTAAATGGTGTAATAAAAACTATACCATTACATTTAAAATAATGAAGTTATGGTCTACTTCCGGTAGACCGGAATATTATAGATCGAAAGTTCTGAATGAACAACCCATGCTACCAAAATTTCAAATCTCTACGATTAATAGAACCTGAAAAAGTTCTAACGAACGAGTTACGTGAGACATCCTGTATATTACTACTTTATTTTCTGTCAATTAATTTATGATAAGTCAATTTATAAGAAAAATAAACTTGGATTATTTTCCGTTTTCCTAACGCAGTTAATTATATACCATACTAAGGCCCACTTTTACCATCCTCTTGATAAACTATCTAGAGGATAGTTGCCATGGTTACGGCGGTTTTAAGCGCTCTCATTGGCTAAGAACTGGATTTATCTATTGGATAAATTTATCAGGAGGTGGTAAAAGTGGGCCTAATTAAAGTAATTCAATTACTTTATTGATAAAATTTGAATTATTTTCCGCCAATGACGTAATGCGTAGTATGGTTGCATATAAACCTAGACAACCTCATAATATAACCTTGGGTAGGAAATATATTTACGTATATTGCATTTTAAGTGAAATTCACTGTAAATTAAAAAAAAAAAGGTTAAAAAGCTTTTAAGAATCTGTAATCTGCACAAATAAATAAAACCGAAACAAATTAAAACTAAAAAATTAAAATTAACCCAATCTTTTTCTTTTTTAAATAACTACCTATAACAGTCGTAACTGGTTTAATAACCACAGCAAGCAGATTTCGGCTTCTTAAAAGTAACCCACTCGTAAAAGACACCCTCATAGTACCGTTGTTAAAATCATCGCATCCGTCAACGCTAAATTCGGCAACCAACGCACAAAAGTGTTGAAACGTAAACCCCGCCGTTGAATTTGCATCTTCCGCCGGAGATTTTCTGTTGTAATTTAAATAATTGTGAACGCGAATAGGCTCGATGTTATGATTCGTCAGTTTTGTATAAGCATCAACAACGTCTATCAATGAAATCTCCCCCGTTTGATCCTTATCGTAGCGATCGAAAGTCTCCCGAAGTTTTCTTAGTTTAAATGTGATTTGTTCTTCGGCCGTTAATCGATTCATACTAGGATTTCTTAAGATTCGCGTCGTACATTGAATTGCCGATTTTAAATTATCGTGTACTTTAATTCCGTGACTTTTTACTAACGTCAGTAAAGTGGTTTGGCCACTTACTAAATCGAAACATTCCCTGCAACAACAATAAGAACGATAAAATTAATTTAAAAAAAACTTAAATTAATTTACCTTTTCGTAATAATTTCCCCCATAATCGTTTGTCCTAAACTATACGGGTAAGCGACTAGTACAACACATCTTCCAGATGCCACTAAATACGCCACCTCAATCATTCCGGAAACACTTCTCGTTTGACTATCAACGACATATAATAAAACCGATGCAGATTCTTTAGCGTTATGTTCAGCTGCCACTAATTCAGGAGCCCACATAGGAACTTGCTGGAAATGTTTGATATTATTTTTAATACTATTTTATTAACTTAATTGGAAAAATTCAAGAATCATCATGTGGATTAAAAATCGACGATTTTTTTTTTATTTTGTGACGTTACAAGCAATGTTAACCATGCATTTTTCTATTAAACTGAATTGAATTGTTTATTTTATAGCCACGCACAAAATTAATTTGATAAACTTAAAAATAAAGTTATTTTCACTAAACTATGTGAGATTACAACGTATATTATTATAGATGAAACACCCTTGTTTATTTTAGATTGTAGTCGATCCATAACGATTAAATACTTGTCGTTAGATAGATTGTCTGTTAATACTAGAAACATTCCGCTTAACCGCACGTCTCTCAAGACTGCTAAACCCGAATGATGCTAGTGCCAGGTCTTGTGTTAGTTCTAGTGATGGTATAAAACTAGAACTAACACTAGACCTAGAACTAGAAAGATTCGGCACGTTAGTTCTAGTTTTAGTTCAATAAAAATATACAACTTGCTATCTTATGCTAACTAGCGGTACCTACTTAGTGGTGGAACGGGTTAGATTGGGTTACCATTGTTTAAAATCCGGCCGGAAATAAAAATCTATTACTTAGTACTCCACCATCCACAGAAATTAGTATCTCTTTTAGGTGTTGGACACCAGAGGCTTTTTAATGTTTTCTCCAACAATATCTTATCTTTCTTTTGCAGTATTTAGACTTGTCAGTAGTAGCTAGTCTTCAGAAAGCAGTATTTAGTCTTCTAGAAGCAATATCTAGTCTCCTGCCAACATTATGTATGTTTTCTCCAACAATATCTT